CAGCGCTAAATCACTGAGCCACCCGGGTTGCCCGAAATGTGATCCTTCTGATAAGGTGTATGCAATAGTAGCTGCCCATAGTAGGAACCCAAGAGATGACAGCCGTTGTTGTTACTCATGTTATTTTTGGTAACTGGAAGTAGACCTGGTGGGGAGGACTCTGTTTAGGCTCCTGGGGTGGAGGTGAAGAAGCCTTGGGGAGATATAGACTTGGGGGAGGCAGATGCTGCATTCAGCACTAATGGACTGTTCTCCTGGGACACTGAGACAGAAGTCCAGGAGGCCACTGATATGGGCCTGAGCTGCAGGAGCACATACCAGGCTGGAGATTGATTTGGGAGTTCTGGGCAGGCAGATGATGACTGAATCATGGGATCTCACATGAAGGAGAGAGAATGGTGCTCAAGGGAACCTAGGAAATAGGATGTGTGAGTTTGGGTTTCCCCAGAGGTGGGCTCTGAGTCAAGTCCTCCTTGCACATTAAATGAATTGATACATATAAAACATTTAGCACAGCACCTGGCACACAGCCATGATCCATTCATGGAGGCTGTTTGGTCATTAACATATTTTTTGATATACATCATTTTAAAATAAAAAAATTTCTCTCTTCCTTCTTTTGGTGCCCCTGGTTTACTGGTTCCCTTAGTTCACATCTGGCTGCTGTTATCCTAGCCCTGAACTTGAGCATTCTCCATAGCTCCTCAGAGCATGGGGGAGTAAGTGGGGGTTTGTGTGCTCAGAACATATTTGTTAAACAAAGGACACGTGGTTCATGAGACATCACTAGAAGACCCTAATTCTCAAACTTGAAGGGGCAGTAAAGTCCCCTGGAGAGCTTGCAAACACATATTGCTGGGGCCTCCTTTTTTTTTTTTTCAAAGATTAGCTTTTCTGATCTTTTTATTATTATTATTATTTATGATAGTCACACACAGAGAGAGAGAGAGAGGCAGAGACACAGGCAGATGGAGAAGCAGGCTCCATGCACCGGGAGCCCGACATGGGATTCGATCCCGGGTCTCCAGGATAGCGCCCTGGGCCAAAGGCAGGCGCTAAACCGCTGGAGCCTCCTTTTTATCATTTATCTGGGAGATGCTTTAGGGCTACACTGAAGGGAAAGTGGGGAAGTGAGGTGGGAATAGGTCCCTAGAAGCAGAGCTGAAGAGAGAGTGTGGATGTATGAGCTTTATTGGGGAAAGGGCTAAAGAGGTCTCAGGAACTAGGAAAGTCAGAGAAGAGGGAGGGAGCTGGGCAAGAGTGTGCTCATAGGTCCAGCTGAGCCTTGACCTGATCCTTCAGCAGAAAGAGGTTTGGAGCGGAAATGGCTCTGCAAAATTGTCCCTTGGGAGGCAAGTGGTAGTCTTGTATCACATCTACTGTAAGTCTGTCAAGCATTGTGGATGGGGGTAGGGGGTAGGTTAAGGCTTTTGTCAGCAGAGGGCAATTCTCATTATGAGCAATGATAAGCTGTTAGCCTACATTCACAGCAGCTGGAGGGAGGTGCCAGGGCCCAAGAGTGGGAGTCTGGGTGGGGCACCCATAGCACCTAGAAAGAAAGCAATTTGGGATATGATAATTAGCAAGTATCCCTGCTGGGGACCTTGGGAAGCAGAATAGAATGCACGCTTGAGTTATGACCCTAGGTGGTCCAGAGCTTCTTATGGCGTTTTAATCCTTGTGGCCTCTGGAGACCCAAGAAAGGTCCCAGGCAAAGACGTGGGTGATTTGGCACTGGAGGTTGGGCAGGCCTGCAGACAGAATAGTCAGGCAGGGCACGAGATAGTGGACAGGGCAGGACAGTGTCTTCGCAGCCTTTAAAGGGGGGGGACACAAAAGCAACAGAGAAGGAGCAGCCAGAGAGGCAGGGAGAAAATCAGGAGAGGAAGAGACCCATAGGGCTGTTGGCGCGCTCACATGGAGACACGTTTTATTCACCCGTGCCCGTTCCACTGCCAGCCTGGCCGGGGCGCCTCCTCAAAGCCGCGGACACGTCTCAGTGGAGCCACTCACACGCTGTCCGGTGTCAGCAGGGCGCTGAGCGGAGCCGCAAGCGCAGGAGGCCGGAGGAAAGGGAGCGCACCTTCCAGCTTGGCCCTCCACCGGGGACGGAAACCTCCCCTGGAAAATAATGAGCGCAGAAATCTTTACTGATTAGTTAAATCCCGGATAATCCCGGCTGATGAAGACATATCCGGACCCCTTCACAGATTTAGGGGTGCCAGGACCACTCCCGGGGGTGACCCCGGGCTAGGAGGGCTTGCAGAGGGAGGGGCCTGGGAGGAGCGCACCCTCCACCCCGCCCGGGCGCGGAGGCGTCCTCCCAACGCTGGCGCCTCGCGTAGACCCGCCTGTCTGGGCGTCGGGGGACTCGCAGAGTGAGGACCGGCTCGGGGACCTTTTCCAGTCTCCTAGACTAGGGAAGCGCTCTCCGCACTGGGCGGCCAGTCCCGCTCGCTGGGCGGCTTTCCCAGCCCCGGTGCCCGGCCTCCGGGCTGGTTCCTCAGAGCTCCGCGCGCAGGTCGGCAGGTCGAGTCCGCCGCCGCAGCTGGGCATGGGAGTGGGGACTAGGGGGTGGGGACCGGAGGCGCTTCTGGGGAGGAGACAGGGAGAGTGTGCTCGGGCACTGCGCTCCCGCCACTGCCACCCTGCAAAAAGGAGGACGGCCTGGTTCCATCCATCTGTCCAACCTGGTCCCGCAGGCCCCTTCCTGCCTGCAGGTGGAGCGGAGGAGGCGTTAGGGACGCTCCGGAGCAGGGATTGCAAGCTCCCCTTGGAGCTCCAATTCCGGCTCCTTCTGCTTTCTTTCAGCTTCGCTTTCCCGGTTTCTCCATCCGTGTCTGGTGTGACCGGGGGGAATAAACCCCAGTTTTCTCATCTGCAAAAGAGGTTTTGTAAGATCCTTCCGAAGCGGTTGTTAACCAGTGTGCTCTTGGCTCTGTGCGGCGGTCCCCGTGCGGAGTGACCGCAGTTGGGCTCCTCCCGCCTGGCCTTTTGGTTCCTCCGGATTCCAGGCCATCCACTTGAGGCCGGTCCTCTCGGGATCACCTGCCTCCCCTGGCAGCGGTAGGGGACGGAGACTTCAAGATCCTAGCGTAGGCGAGGGGACGCTGACACTGCAGGCTGCAGGCGCGAGCGTCCGCTCCAGCTTCCGTGCGACCCTCTCCTTGCGAGTGACCCTGCTCGGGCAGATGGTCCCGCCTGTCTACCCCGGGCTTGGTCTGCGGAATGTGTGGATCGTTAGGTGTCTTTCTAAACTGTGGTCCCAAATTCTTAATTACAAACGACTATTCTGCGGGACAGAGAGCTAGAGCACCTTGGCTGGGTCCTGGACCACCAATACGTCCTTCAAACCCAGAGATGGATTTGGGGAGAAATTCCCGGCGGAGCCAAGAAAGACGCAGGCATGTAAAGCCGCCCCCTACCCCGAGCGATTCAAATGACAATTATCCCAAAGGAAACGTATTGTTTTGCTAATACCAGAAACAGCTTGTGTTGGGAGGGGAGAGTTGGGTCCTCCTTTAATAATGGAAAGTTAATGCGCAGCCTGCTGCAATTATCTTTAGCGGAAGCCCCTCTTGTAATCTGCATGTTTAACAGAGGACCCACGCAAAGGTGCAGCGAGCGGAGACCCACTTTTCCGCGCTCGCGCTCCTCTCCAGCGCGCGCAGGGAGCCAAGCAGAGTCCGGGTGGGCTGGGAGTTGCCACCTCCCTCGCTAGGTGACCTCAAGCCGCCCGGTTCAAGGGGAGGGACTGAGGAGATTCTATTTCCAGGATTCTGTTTGGGAAGGGTGGGCTCAGGTTTTCCAGCGATTCGGGTTGGGTGGACTCAAAATTCCTGCGTGTGAGCCTGAGCCAGGAGTGGTTTACTCATGTGCTTTGTTGGCGCCAACTTTAACAAATTAGGGAGTTTCACAGGAAAATCAGGTTTTCTCTGAATAATCATAAAATCTGACAGTGATTTGTTTGCCTCCGTGAATAGGGGGTGCCTCCCAGTAGACAGTTCTTATGTTCCAATTTACTCCCACACGATTTAAAATTGCCAAATGAAATATTGATACATTCTTATACTAAAAATATATTCATTGTTTATCTGAAATTCAAATTTCACTGGACCTCCAGTACTTTTGTTTGCTAAGCCAAGCACTCTTCCCAGTAGTCTTAGCCTGGTCCGCTATACATCTGTCTCTCTCTCTCTACTTCTCCTTCCCCCAGCTCTCGTGAGTTTTGCACCCATTACAGCTCAGCCGTTAGGGAGCTGGGGGTGACTTTGGCTGCAGGTAGAGTGGGAATGGATTAAATAAACATTTTCCACTCCATTCCCCTTGGAGATTTTCAGGGAAGCCTTGGCTCTGGGGGTGGAGTTGGAGGGCTGGCCTGCCTCACATTAGTGGTAGTGTGGCTGGGAATGAGGTCCTAGTCCTTTTTTAAAAATATATTTTTAAAGTTTTATTTGTTTAAGGAATGTCCACACCCCACCTGGGGATGAACTGAGGAATCAAGATCAAGAGTTGCATGCTCCCTTGATTGAACCAGCCAGGTGCCAGGAGGCTTAATGGGTAACTGGATCTTGGGAGGAGGCTCTGGAGCAGCTGTGATCAGGACTTCTTCTAGACAATCTGGAAGGATAAGGAAGACCACACGGCGGCCTGTAATATGCGGCTTTTAGAGAAACCTGCAGATAGCAGGGTCGTCCCCTTCCTCATTTCCTCTCATCGAGAAGGGTGTGTGTGTCGGGGGAGGGTGGCTGGGGAGTGGGCAGGAGGACAGCTGGATGGGAGAGAGAAGGAGGTGATTGAGGGGACTGCAGCTGGGAGGGCGGCGACTTGGGGGAGGGAAACTGGTGGCGTCCCCATCTCGCAGCGTCCGAGCCCCACTGATTGGAGCCCTCCGGGCCTTCCGCGCCCGACGGCCGGTCCAGGAGTATAAAGCATCCTCTGAGCTGCGCTGCTCTGCAAACGTGTCCTAGAGAAGGTCCGGCCTCGCCGACTGAGAAGTAATGACCTACAGGGCCGCGCTTTCCGACGGGCGCTCCAGGAGCAGGGCACTAGTGCCCGGCGGCTCCCCCAGCGGCTCGCGCCCCCGCGGCTTCGCCATCACCGACCTGCTGGGCCTGGAGGCTGAGGTGCCCGCGCCTGCCGGCCCCGGTGCAAGATCGGGTTGCGAAGCCTCGGCTGCCGCCCCCTGCATGGGCCCAGGTCTCGGGGGCGCCTGCCTGGTGCGCGGGGCCCTCCCACTGGGGCTCGGCCTTCTCTGCGGCTTCGGCGCGCAGCCTCCTGCGGCCGCTCGGGCGCCCTGCCTGCTCCTAGCCGACGTGCCGGTCCTGCCGCCCGGGGCGCCCGAATCTGCTGCCCCGCAAGCTCCAGGTCGCCTGCCCGCCACGCTCAGCAGCCAGAAGAGAAGCGAGAGCGTCTTGGCGTCCGGTAATCAGGCCAGCCCATCTGGGTCTTGCTCCTGTTTGCTCGGCTTGGGGCCGTGTAGGGGTAACTCACTGAGCCCCGGTTCCTAGCACCCCGGACCTAAGGGACGTCAGGACCCCAGAGCGTGGCCCCGTCCAGGGAGGCGTGTTCTCTCGGCCTTGCTCCCTGCCCCTTGTCTCTCCCCAAATCCCTGCCTCCCCTCCGGGTTCACCGGAGCACAACGAGTATCACCCCCCGCCCCCCGCAGGTCTGGACCTACCCCGGGGGTCTCGGCGACCAAGCAGGTCTCCTGAGGACATAGGTCGGGGAGGCCGGGGCGTGCTCGTTTCTCACCAGCACAGCATCCAGGAACTCGCAGCGCTCAGAGCCAGGCTGGATCCACAGGTGGAAAAGCACGGGCGGCCGGAGGCTGGAACTGTCCGCCTTCTGGGGTGCTGAAAGGGGGAGTCGGTACTGCGCTTCCCCTTCGCGCTGCCCTCCCTCCTCCACACACGTGAGAGAGGAAGCAGCCTCGCCAATCTCATTGCGCTTCGCTCAGCATTTCGTTCCGACCCCAGCTATTTCCTCAAAGACGTCGAGGCGGGTTATGGGGAAAGAGAAGGAGGCCATGAAGACTTTGCAAAGAGCAAAGTCAAAGAAATTGAGAGGTTTTGGGCTCGTGGATGAAAGAAAAAGGAGAATTATACAAGAAAACGTGGACTGAGAAACTATATTGTAGAACCTAGAGCTGAGCATCCAGGCAGCCTAAGGCAAAAAGAGAGTATACTGAGTCTCCACTGATCGTAAAAGTAAGCATGTCGGATCAGCAGGCAAGCAAACTTTTACTCTACTTAAAAAAATGTTTATTCAGGAGTCTCTGTGTAAGAGAAAATGAACCCTTCTATTAGTAATTTCACTAAAAATGCAGAAACTGCCCTCATAGGATGGGTTCCTTCCTCTGTGAGCACTGATAAAATGAAAGGCAAAATATGACTAGATCTTGTCAAGAGTGAGTTTCCTGGATCCCCTCCCAGAGACTCAGAATTGGTACAGCCGGGGAGGGAGTGCAGTTCTGACAAGGGCTGTGATGTCAAACCTCAACTCCCACCCTGCTTAGAGGAATGTTGGTGTATTGGTTAACATGAGGGGTTGCAGGTGGAAGGAGGTGAATGAATTTGGGAGCGGGAAGCTAAGTGGGATAGAGAATGCTATGAAGCTTCACGGAATCTAGGTTTGGATCCCAACCTCACCACATACAACCTGTGTGATCTTGGGCAAGTTACTTAATCCCTCTGTACCTTAACTTCCTCATCTGTAAAAATAGGATAATACTAGCTGCTACTGTGGAGTTCTTTTTATTTTATGAAGGATAACTGCAATAATGCATGGACAATGCTAAGCAGAATGCCTGGAATATACTGAGTGCTAAAAATGCTAGCATGTATTATTGAATAGTCACATTCCCCAACACATCATAACTTCAGTCCTCATATTGAAATCCAGAGAAGAAAGTGAAAAATCTGCTTACTTTTTAAAAAGATTTATTTATTTACTTGAGAGAAAGAACACAAGCAAGAGAGGAAGAGAGAATATCAGGCAGACTCCACATTGACCCAAGAGCCCAACATGGGGCTCGATCTCACAACCCTTGGATCATGACCTGAGGTTAAACCAAGAATCAGGGGCTCAACTGACTGTGCCACCCAGGTGCCCTGAAAAATATGCTCACCTTTAAAAATAGTTTTTTAAAAAAATAAAAGATAATATGGTCACCTTTAAAGTCTTCTCTCTCCCCTGTGCTAACAGATGAGGACAGCCCATCTGAAGACAGGAGTGGCCTGAAGGTGTCCCCATCTTGTGGCAAGAGGAAGAAGAGGCGGCATAGGTATACAGCTAGATTGTCTTTCCTGACCCTTTGCTTAGGACACAGACTCTGAGAACCTATGGTGCTGCATTAAGGCAAGGCCCTGTGGCCTCCTGGCTGACACACAGCAGCAATTTGGGAACATAATTCTGCTATTCACAGGAGGCTACAGGATAATCTTTCTAGCATTTTATTTTTTAGTTTAATTTAATTTTATTTCTAGCATTTTAGAGACACAGGTTTGTGTACCTTTAAAATAGACCTTCTTAGAATTAGTTGATAGAATTCATCAAGGAGGGAAAATATGCTAAAGAACTCTGTTTTGTTTGAAGCAAACTTCTGGACTTTCCAGAGGCTAATCATTCAGAGGTGAGATATCCAGTTATCATGAGGTGGACTTTTAGGGTGTGGAAAGGCAGGCACAGGGTCTTCTAAGTCTGGGAAGCCTGGCAGCCTCCTGTGGACATGCACTCATGTGTGTGCTTCGGGTCTCCCTACAGGACTGTTTTCACTGCCCACCAGCTGGAAGAGCTGGAGAAGGCATTCAGCGAGGCCCACTACCCTGATGTGTATGCCCGGGAAATGCTGGCTGTGAAAACTGAGCTCCCTGAAGACCGAATACAGGTGTCTGGGGTCTCCTTTCTCTATCCCAAAGACATCACAGAGAACGTGTTTTTTTTCACATACACACAGCTACCTCTGAACAGTCCAGCATGTTTCCCTTGACACATGAACTGAGGCTCACCTAGCTGAGGGTACCACAATGCTAGACTCATTCTGTATGTTTATTCCAAGAAGATATCCCCTGTACCCTGCATGTCTTTTTTCCTTTGTTAATTAATTGTTTAAAGTTGTAACCATCTCCATGTCATATATAATTGGCCCTGAATATGTTTATATCTATATATCTATCTATATCTATAGATATATGTATACTGACACAGAATTTTGTTCTTTGTTTTTACAAGAAGGTATTGTGTTAGGCTTCTTAGCCTCTTTGCTTGACATGACATCTTGGACATTTCTCCACGTCAAAAGATAATGCCACCAACTCTTTTTTTTTTTAATTTATGATAGTCACACACACACACACACAGAGAGAGAGAGAGAGAGAGAGAGAGAGAGAGAGAGAGGCAGAGACAGAAGCAGGCTCCATGCACCGGGGGGAGCCCGACGTGGGATTCAATCCCGGGTCTCCAGGATCGTGCCCTGGGCCAAAGGCAGGCACTAAACCGCTGTGACACCCAGGGATCCCCCACCAACTCTTTTTTAACAGCTAATCAATATTCCACATTATTTCTTTATTAAGATAGTATTTTCAAAGAGAAATATTACTAACAAACCAACAACCTAAGATTACAAGGGACCAGTGCCAGTATGAACTCTTTCCAATCAATGAGAAAAATCATGAAGCATAGTAGTCCACTTTCTTACACAATGTGGGAAAGAATGCTTTGATTTTATTTTCATTTTTTCTGGCTTTATGGAAAACCTCAGTGGAGACCAATTGCACATTATCTTCACAATGATAAGTCCCTGTGGGTTTTGAGTGGTAGACACAGCTTCTGTAAGGTCTGGGACTTGAATGGATAGTTGGCTGTTCTTAGAACTCCTTGCTCAGGGACACCTAGGAGCTTCCTCTTTACTGTGTCTCCTCCTGTATACTCTTCTGCTTCCTGTCCTGCCTCACATCAGGTCTGGTTTCAAAACCGGAGGGCCAAGTGGCGGAAGCGGGAGAAGCGCTGGGGTGGCAGCAGCGTGATGGCCGAGTATGGGCTTTATGGGGCCATGGTGCGACACTGCATCCCACTGCCAGACTCCGTCCTTAACTCCACTGAGGGTGGCCTGATTGGTTCCTGTGCACCCTGGCTCTTGGGTAAGGAAGAGGGCCCTGCAGCCAGCAAAATGGCCAGAGTTGCTGGGGGAGGGGCCAGGGTTCCCATGAGGGGCGGCCATTTGCTAAATCTAATCAATATAAATTTACTCAGATTTGGGCCCAAAATATCACATTGATTTTAATTAATTAAAAGGATTGAACTATGGTCAGTTGACTTGTTTTTTATTTGCACTGTGTAGACAGCGTGTGGAAAGGTCACACCAGGCCTTGGTTCTAAGAGTGGAATGATATACTTGTAATATGTGAAATATATTTCCAAAATGTTGAGTGTGGTTACAACTTTTGGGAACCATATGATTTAGAGCTCATGATAATAAGAATGAGGACAGTGCTAAGCAGTGAAACTTGTAGGTGATTAACCCCCTACATACTAGAGCCAGGAGATCCAGGGTTTGGGTCCTGGTTCTGCCATTAACAACCTGATTTTCTGTCTTTTAGACTTTTGGTGCTAGAACAGTCTACATGGGTGAGGCTTAAGCTTTGGGGCTGGACATTCTGGATTTTCTGTTTGCTGTTACTAGAGACTAATGGGCAGGGATCACATCTTGGAGGAATGAATCCAAGATAGCACCTGGGGTAGGGTAAGAGATTAGAGTTAGGTGTGTGTGTGTGTGTGTGTGTGTGTGTGTGTGTGTGTGAGTGAGTGGGCTTATAGGTTGGTGGGGGGAGGTTTTTTTGTTTAGCAGACATTTTTAAGAATCTACCAGCCATTTGCTGTGCAGTCACTAGAGATACCAATTATGGATATGGTCTTGACTTTGCCCTCAGAGACTGAAGAGACAGAATTTTGGGCAGGGAACCAAGCCTACCCTTCTGAACTTCCACACGCAGGTTAGGTGTGAGATGTCTGTGCTTACTGGTATCTGCAGACCTGTGGCCCAGTGCTGCCAGACATTTTTACTTTCAAACAAGCTGGAAGTCTGGCTTTTGATGTGCGATTTCCTGATTTTAAAACATTGGCAGCAATTACATTTAAAAAATCACTACAATACCCAAACCAGGCACCTTTGAAAGCTGCACCCCACAGGCAGATAATCAGATTTCAACCCCAAGTGGGGGTAGTTACCTACCTGGCTCCTCTAGAGGCCCTGGAAACAGGCACTGATGAAGATACTTCTAATGGGATTTAGAGAACAATGACAAGGAAGAGATTTACAAAATTGCTGAATTTGGAAATACCTATTCTTATTTTTTCTTTTCATTTTTTGCAAGGGATGCATAAAAAATCCACAGAGATGATAAGGAAATCAGGAAATGAAGAAAAGCTGGCAGGACTCTGGGACTCAGAGCACTTCCAGGAAGGTTCTAGCCCAGGACAGGCAGGATCCCAGAAAGGCTCAGATGAAGCCAGCCCTGAGAACAGCTTGGAAGATGTGGCCATGGATCTCTCCAGCTCTGCCCGGCAGGAGACCAAGAAAGCACACCAGGCTGCCAGTGCCCAAGGATGTTCAGACTCCTTGGGGCTGGAGGGGTTCCAGCCAGGAAAGGTGGGAGCCTGAGGAGACCACAGTACCCACCCTCAAAGGCTGGCAATGCACTCATCCCTCAAGACATTTTCCACAAGACAAAAGTTGTCTAAGACCAGAACTCTCAGCTGGATTTTCTTCTTCCAGGGTCAGGATACAATGCAATACCACTTGCTTTAAGAAGACAAAGTAGTGACTTACAGAAAATACCATCTCACTCTAGAATGGAAACCATTCCTTAAAGTCACCTGAACCAGCTAACTTCATGTAAAATTTTACTTTTCTTTTGTAGAACATGAGAAGGGAGGATTGAAAGTTCAAAAGGCATGTTTACTGCTGGACTTCATCTGCGATTTGGCTCAATATACTGGGCAAATTAATAGGTGAAGTCTGATGTCCTCACTCTGAATTTGAAAATATAAATTTATTTAACCTCCAGAGAATCAGATGTCTTTATAAATAACAAAGACCCCATACAGACATATAGATGAATTATAGTATTTTTATCTTAAAAGTTGGCTTTAGGGATCCCTGGGTGGCGCAGCGGTTTGGCGCCTGCCTTTGACCCAGGGCGCGGTCCTGGGGACCCAGGATCGAATCCCACATCGGGCTCCCGGTGCATGGAGCCTGCTTCTCCCTCTGCCTGTGTCTCTGCCTCTCTCTCTCTCTCTCTCTGTGACTATCATAAATAAATTTTTAAAAAATTAAAAAAAAAAGTTGGCTTTGGACATTTCAATTTTCTTGTTAGGCAATACTTTTGCATTACCCCAAGTGTCATTTCATAGACTGTATATATTGGAACTCATAAACAAGAAAGAAAGCCATACTTTCCCTTTCCTTCTGAAATAGCATGGGACCATGTTTAAATAATTGTTCAATACCTATAAGCAGTGTTTTAAGGTCAGATGAGGCTTCTTGGTCTTTTAAAATTTATATTTGGGGATCCCTGGGTGGCGCAGCGGTTTGGCGCCTGCCTTTGGCCCAGGGCGCGATCCTGGAGACCCGGGATCGAATCCCACGTCGGGCTCCCGGTGCATGGAGCCTGCTTCTCTCTCTGCCTGTGTCTCTGCCTCTCTCTCTCTCTCTCTCTCTCTCTCTCTGTGACTATCATAAATAAATAAAAAAAATTTATATTTGAAAGGACTTTAGTGATTGGATTTCATGAATGTTTCCTTCCCTGTATTGTTTGCCATTTATTTGTTATTTAAGAATAAATGTTGTGCTGTGTGTTTGCTTCTCAGGGTTCTCCTTCTGTTACATGTTTATACAACTCTACTATCACTGATCCCCTAATGAAGTTCCTTCCCCATGCCTTTGGCCCTTTTTAATCTCAGAACATCTTCAGGCTGTAGCACATATCATGTGTAGCTTTGTAAACTACCGTTGGGTGATAGCCAGGTCTAATTCACCTATTTTATTTTGTTTTGTTTTGTTTTATTTTATTTTTAGAGATAGAGAGTGTGCATGTACCCAAGAATGAGGGAGGTGAAGGGCAGAAGGAGAGGGAGAATGAGAATCCCATTATCTCATTATACTGAGATTACGACCTGAGTAGAAATCAAGAGTTGGATGCTTAACCAACTGAGCCACCCAGATTCCCCTAATTCACCTTTTACAGTTCAAGTTCAGATTAGATTCAGTTAAGGCAGAAATGTGAACCTTCGTGAAGAAGGCAAAGGGGGAAGGAAAGTGGGGATCCCCCATTTGAGAGGCTTTCTCTAGAACTTGGTGCAGTCAGGCTGGGCCTGCTCCTCCCATATCTCCAGATGAGAAAACAGAGGCTTCCTTCCTTCAGTCTATCTCATCCTAGCTAGTTCCACACTATTGTGAGAAGTAAATGTCACCTATTATTTTCTCTTTTTAAAAAGATTTTATTTATTTATGTCAGAGAGAATGAGTGGGGGAGAGCAGGAGAGGGGCAGAGGAAGATGCAGACTCCCTGCCAAACAGTGAGCCAGACTCAGAGCTCAATCCTAGGACTCCGGGATCATGACCTGAGCAAAAGGCAGATGCCTAACTGACTGAGCCACCAGGTGCCCCAAAGTTCATCTATATTTACTATAGAAACAGAGCCATAAGCATTACCTTCTTTTATTCATTCTGGCTCATAGAGATCATTGCTGAATCCTGAGCCTAAAGGGCAAAGAGCAGGTGTTGTTGGTAAACAACTCTAGAAATTATATTCTATTTTTACCTTTCCTGATTAGAGGCAGCAGACCAGGTCCTGAGCCAAGTGGCCATGCTTGTTCTGGACGTTCTTTTGCCTCACAGCTGGTTATAAGATTCTTGCTTCCATCTCTCTTGCTTAGTTTATCCAGAGTTGCATTTGGGGGAGGGAGATAGTAAATTGTGCAACTTATATGCAACACACTCATGAAATAAAATTTATCCAGCTGCTAAAACTGGTAACAATAGACTTATTTACTTATGTAGTGAGGTATTAATGAAATGTTGGTGAGAAAAAGAACCTTAAGTAAATGGAAAAAAAGATAGAAGTAGAAATAAACAAATATATTAAACAGAATGAAAATAAACACAACTTGCTTTATACAAAAATGTAAAGGGGACAGGGCAGCCCGGGTGGCTCAGCAGTTTAGTGCCGCCTTCAGCCCAGGGCGTGATCCTGGAGACCTGGGACGAGTCCCACATCGGGTTCCCTGCATGGAACCTGCTTCTCCCTCTGCCTGTGTCTCTGCCTCTCTCTCTCTCTCTCTCTGTGTGACTATCATAAATAAAAAAAAAAAAATCTTAAAAAATATATACAGTGGACAAATTTCTGTGCAATATTATAAAGAAAAAAGAAAACAGGAAGAGGCAAAGGAGAAAGAGACCAGAACCAGTAATGTATACATTTCAAATATGTAAGAAAATACTATTCATAACTGGAAAGTAGATCGGTATGTTTTAAAACTCTCACAGATGGACACATTTTCTGGAAAAATATATATTACTACCATTGACTCCAGAATAAGCATAAAATTTGAAAAATTACTGACTAAGAGATTTTGGTTATGCAAAGAGAATTTAATTTAATATTGTGAAAGAAAATTATTTAAACATTTTATTAACGACTCAAACAATGAATCATAACATTCATTCAACAAATATAAATATCTATTTCTTTAAAAAAACTTAAAAAGTAGGACTAGAAGGATACTTATTTCAAAAACAGCATCTTAATGTTTTATAATGCATATATATGTAAAAGTGTATATATATATACATATATATACATACATATATAAGCACAGTCTTTGAGGTGGCTCTGTTACCTTTTGTAACTGTGGATGCGTTATGTAACCTTTCTGATCTCTCAGTTTTTTCAATCATAAAATGGGGATAATTATAGAACACTCTCATTTCCCAGAAGGTTAGATAAGAGGACATGAGTAATGTACTCACCTCGGCTTCTGACATAGCAGAGAAAAATCAAAATAAATATTACCTATTATATGACTACTATTGGCATTCTTATTAATATCAAGACTTAAATGAGAATATTTACACCATTATTTAACAACATTGGATTGACTAAGTACAGGAGGGAATAGTAACCTACTGGAATGCTCTGTAAGTAAGATTCAGGAAGAGCTCCAGGAACAAAGTAGGACAGACTTTTGGTCTTTTCTCATATTTTCTAAGTTTCATAAAATTAATATGTAAAAATAAGATAAATTTGCTAACATTATTAAAATAGTAATACTTCTTTTTCAATTTAGATCTAAATTCGCCCTGGACTTTTGAGAACACAGTGTGAAACTTTTTATGATGAAAAATTTGTACTTTACCTGCATCTCCTGTTTGGTTCTGCAAAGTGCCAATATGACAATAAAGAAACAAGCAGGCGTCTACCCATACCTTCTTACACCCTTCCTGAAATCACACAGGAGGTCAAAATGAAATCTGACCACAGAATGACAACAGGACTGAATCATTTCCAGCTTTCAAAATTGTTTGCTGGCTGAAATGTGGCTGTAGAAGCTCAAAAGGAGATTTTTAAAAATTATAATTTTAAGAAGGCCAATTTGGAAGGATTCATAATATGTCACATTCCCAGATTCACACTCCCAGCTGGCTTTCAGCAACAGGAGGCAGTACAGCAGCACATGAGAAATGTTCATGAACTCAGGAGATAGTTCCAGAAATGACAGAAGAACAAAATATAGAAACCAGTGTTGTTTCCTTTTGCTTAGCAGAATAAACATAATAAACTATCCACACACAATGTATATATTTCTGAGCCATTTAAGAGGTAGTTGCATATGTAATCTGCCCTTTTGTCTCTCTTTTTCAAGCCTCATTGAGATTCTTTGACATAGGCCATTGTGTAAGGTATACAATCTGATGATTTGACACGTGTACATATTGCAAATTGTTTACAATAGATGAGTTACCATATCCTTCACCATTTGTAGTTGTTAGGGTGAGAATATTAAAATGCTACTCTCGTAGCTACTCTCAAGTATGCACTATGGTATTGATGACTATGGTCACCCCGCTGTACCTTAGATCCCCAGAATTTATCTTAGAACTGACAGTTTGTACCTTTAGACTGATACCTACCAGTTTCCTCCACTCCTCTGCCCTGGCAATCACCATTTTACTCTCTGTTTGTATGGATTTCATGTTTTCTGATTCCACACATAAGTGAGATCATGTAGTATTTGTCTTTCTCTGTGTTGGTTTGCAAGCTCCTCGGGAGCTTCCTAGGGGAAATTTGAAACCTCTGGAACTGGCAACTGTATGCGGAGCATGGGGAGAGATGGAAAAAAGAGGCAGGGACTCCAGGTTGGGAGGTGACAGTTCTTAATACTTGAAAGAAATTTATGTATGAGGCTTGTCTTGGGTGGCAGTGAGACAAGTAGATCTCTGCACCTGCCTGCCAGATCTTAAAAGTTTTTACAGAAGTCTTAAGTGGGTTCAGTGACATATACTGTACAGATGGTTTCAGGACTACATTCACTTTCTCAAGGTTGTATCCTTAGGGAAGCCTCTGGAAGTGGAAAGGCAAGTGGAATGCACATTCTAAGAAC